AATGACAGTCGGCGTTCAGTGCCACAACATAAGCGTGCCTGTATCTGTCACCTAAAAACATGCATTACCTTCTGTTCGAATATCATTTCCGATACCTATAATTATGTTGTAGAAAACAATATGTCTTATGCATTAGATATGTTTTCAATTGAAATGACACTAAAAAATCAAACGGTTGTCACGAAAAACATTGCCAGAGATTTTATGCCTAATGTGCTGAATGAGTTTTGTGAAGCAAGTTACATACTATCACCCGAAGAAAATAGTTGGACTTTAGATGAAGTAAGAAAAATACAGCCATAGTCACAATTATTTAGGCATAATGAAAATTAAAGTATGCTACGAAATAAAATCAAATCTTGATACCACATGTATGTGTAAAAAACATCACTCCTATATTATTCCTTAAACTGTATACCTAATAAAATTGGAATGATTTCTTGTTGCAAAATTACACATAGATATCAAAACTTAATTTTTCAGTATGCCTAAATAATTACGACTATAAATTACATTTATTCCTAAAAAAATTTAAAATATAAAATTTTAGAATGGCAATTTACAACTCCCCGATAATAAGATACAACTTAAAAGGAACCAGTATTGCATTGATATTCATAAAATAATTACTGAAATGAGACATATGATTTTATAAGTCCCACAATCTGTGCAAAAAGAGAAATTAAATGATACATTAGAAAAGTTCAATTATTGGGGTAAGTGATTCAAGAATTCTTTCAAATAATTAAAACAGATATACGAAAACACTAGAAAAGAACTAGAACAGAACTAGAACAGAACTAGTAAAGAACTAGATCAGAACTTAAACAGAACAGAACTAGAACGGAACCTAGAACAAAAACTAGAACAGAACTAGAACAGAAACCAGGAACAGAACTAGAACAGAACTAGAACAGACCCTAGAACAGAACTAGAACAGAACTAAACAGAACTAGAAACACGAACTAGAACAGAACTAGAACAGAACTAGAACAGCAGAACTAGACAGAACTAGAAACAGAACTAGAACAGAACTAGAACAGAACTAGAACAGAACTAGAACAGAACTAGAACAGAACTAGAACAGAAAACTAGAACAGAACTAGAACAGAACTAGAAACAGAACTAGAAAGAACAGAACTAGAACAGAACTAGAACAGAACTAGAACAGAACTAGAACACTAGAACAGAACTAGAACAGAACTAGAACAGAACTAGAACAGAACTAGAACAGAACTAGAACAGAACTAGAACAGAACTAGAACAGAACTAGAACAGAACTAGAACAGAACTAGAACAGAACTAGAACAGAACTAGAACAGAACTAGAACAGAACTAGAACAGAACTAGAACAGAACTAGAACAGAACTAGAACAGAACTAGAACAACTAGAACAGAACTAGAACAGAACTAGAACAGAACTAGAACAGAACTAGAACAGAACTAGACAGAACTAGAACAGAACTAGAACAGAACTAGAACAGAACTAGAACAGAACTAGAACAGAACTAGAACAGAACTAGAACAGAACTAGAACAGAACGAAAGAACTAGAACTAGAACAGAACTAGAACAGAACTAGAACAGAACTAGAACAGAACTAGAACAGAACTAGAACAGAACTAGAACAGAACTAGAACAGAACTAGAACAGAACTAGAACAGAACTAGAACAGAACTAGAACAGAACTAGAACAGAACTAGAACAGACTAGAACAGAACTAGAACAGAACTAGAACAGAACTAGAACAGAACTAGAACAGAACTAGAACAGAACTAGAACAGAACTAGAACAGAACTAGAACAGAACTAGAACAGAACTAGAACAGAACTAGAACAGAACTAGAACAGAACTAGAACAGAACTAGAACAGAACTAGAACAGAACTAGAACAGAACTAGAACAGGACTAGAACAGAACTAGAACAAAACTAGAACAGAACTAGAACTAGAACTGAACTAGAACTGAACTAGAACAGAACTAGAACAGAACTAAACAAACCAGAACTGAACTAGAACAGAACTAGATCAGAACTAGAACAGAACTAGAACTAGAACTGAACTAGAACTGAACAGAACAGAACTAGAATAGAACTAGAATAGAACTAGAATAGAACTAGAATAGAACTAGATCAGAACTAGAACTAGAACAGAACTAGAACAGAACTAGAACAGAACTAGAACAGAACTAGAACAGACTAGAACAGAACTAGAACAGAACTAGAACAGAACTAGAACAGAACTAGAACAGAACTAGAACAGAACTAGAACAGAACTAGAACAGAACTAGAACAGAACTAGAACAGAACTAGAACAGAACTAGAACAGAACTAGAACAGAACTAGAACAGAACTAGAACAGAACTAGAACAGAACTAGAACAGAACTAGAACAGAACTAGAACAGAACTAGAACAGAACTAGAACAGAACTAGAACAGAACTAAAACAGAACTAGAACAGAACTAGAACAGAACTAGAACAGAACTAGAACAGAACTAGAACAGATAGAACAGAACTAGAACAGAACTAGAAAACTAGAACAGAACTAGTAACAGAACTAGAACAGAACTAGAACAGAACAGAACTAGAACAGAACTAGAACAGAACTAGAACAAAACTAGAACAGAACTAGAACAGAACTAGAACAGAACTAGAACAGACTAGAACAGAACTAGAACAGAACTAGAACAGAACTAGAACAGAACTAGAACAGAACTAGAACAGAACTAGAACAGAACTAGAACAGAACTAGAACAGAACTAGAACAGAACTAGAACAGAACTAGAACAGAACTAGAACAGAACTAGAACAGAACTAGAACAACTAGAACAGAACTAGAACAGAACTATAGAACAGAACTAGAACAGAACTAGAACTAGAAGAACTAGAACAGAACTAGAACAGAACTAGAACAGAACTAGAACAGAACTAGAACAGAACTAGAACAGAACTAGAACAGAACTAGAACAGAACTAGAACAGAACTAGAACAGAACTAGAACAGAACTAGAACAGAACTAGAACAGAACTAGAACAGAACTAGAAAAACTAGAACAGAACTAGAACAGAACTAGAACAGAACTAGAACAGAACTAGAACAGAACTAGAACAGAACTAGAACAGAACTAGAACAGAACTAGAACAGAACTAGAACAGAACTAGAACAGAACTAGAACAGAACTAGAACAGAACTAGAACAGAACTAGAACAGAACTAGAACAGAACTAGAACAGAACTAGAACAGAACTAGAACAGAACTAGAACAGAACTAGAACAGAACTAGAACAGAACTAGAACAGAACTAGAACAGAACTAGAACAGAACTAGAACAGAACTAGAACAGAACTAGAACAGAACTAGAACAGAACTAGAACAGAACTAGAACAGAACTAGAACAGAACTAGAACAGAACTAGAACAACTACAGAACTAGAACAGAACTAGAACAGAACTAGAACAGAACTAGAACAGAACTAGAACAGAACTAGAACAGAACTAGAACAGAACTAGAACAGAACTAGAACAGAACTAGAACAGAACTAGAACAGAACTAGAACAGAACTAGAACAGAACTAGAACAGAACTAGAACAGAACTAGAACAGAACTAGAACGAACTAGAACAGAACTAGAACAGACTAGAACAGAACTAGAACAAACTAGAACAGAACTAGAACAGAACTAGAACAGAACTAGAACAGAACTAGAACAGAACTAGAACAGAACTAGAACAGAACTAGAACGAACTAGAACAGAACTAGAACAGAACTAGAACAGAACTAGAACAGAACTAGAACAGAACTAGAACAGACTAGAACAGAACTAGAACAGAACTAGAACAGAACTAGAACAGAACTAGAACAGAACTAGAACAGAACTAGAACAGAACTAGAACAGAACTAGAACAGAACTAGAACAGAACTAGAACAGAACTAGAACAGAACTAGAACAGAACTAGAACAGAACTAGAACAGAACTAGAACAACTAGAACAGAACTAGAACAGAACTAGAACAGAACTAGAACAGAACTAGAACAGAACTAGAACAGAACTAGAACAGAACTAGAACAGAACTAGAACAGAACTAGAACAGAACTAGAACAGAACTAGAACAGAACTAGAACAGAACTAGAACAGAACTAGAACAGAACAGAACTAGAACAGAACTAGAACAAACTAGAACAGAACTAGAACAAACTAGAACTAGAACAGAACTAGAACAGAACTAGAACAGAACTAGAACAGAACAGAACAGAACATAACTAGAACTAACATAAACTAGAACTAGAACTAACTAGAACTAGAACTAACTAGAACTAGAACAGAACTAGAACATAACTAGAACAGAACTAGAACAGAACTAGAACAGAACTAGAACAGAACTGAACAGAACTAGAACAGAACTAGAACAGAACTAGAACAGAACTAGAACAGAACTAGAACAGACAGAACTAGAACAGAACTAGAACAGAACTAAACTGAACTAGAACAGAACTAGAACAGAACTAGAACAGAACAGAACTAGAACAGAACTAGAACAGAACTAGAACAGAACTAGAACAGAACTAGAACAGAACTAGAACAGAACTAGAACAGAACTAGAACAGAACTAGAACAGAACTAGAACAGAACTAGAACAGAACTAAACAGAACTAGAACAGAACTAGAACAGAACTAGAACAGAACTAGAACAGAACTAGAACAGAACTAGAACAGAACAGAACTAGAACAGAACTAGAACAAAACTAGAACAAACTAGAACAGAACTAGAACAGAACTAGAACAGAACTAGAACAGAACTAGAACAGAACTAGAACAAAACTAGAACAAACTAGAACAGAACTAGAACAGAACTAGAACAGAACTAGAACAGAACTAGAACAGAACTAGAACAGAACTAGAACAGAACTAGAACAGAATTAAACAGACTTAGGAAAGAAGTAGTACTGAACTAGGAATGAACTTAAATAGGTCTTTGGAACAGAAAGGTAAATCATTAACGTTGGTCTCTGGTATGGAAATACAATGCCGTTTTGTTACTCATTAAAAATTGTGTATAAATAATTTAATAAAACTCAATATAAACTGTAATAATTCTTATAAATATTATGGGATCTAACAGGACGGAGTTGTATTACGTAGCTGTCATAGACCCATATATGTAAAGAAAGCAATAACGATCTTGCCATATCCGTCAATTAGCCCTGCAGTGACCTAAGAAAAGGAATAAGGGAGATAACAATTTTCAAAATTTGCTTAATTGATGAGTAATATTTGATTCTGAAATCGGTCAAACCAATTACAGGGAATGGAAAATTTATAAAAAATTATCCGAAATATATAAAAAATTTTTGATGTCAGAACATTTTCTTATAATACTCTTACTCATTTTATTACAGTTCAAGTGATTTCCGTAATATTTCTTCTTTTAACCATTATCTTATATTGCTGTCTAACACCCCTAAGTATCCACGGAAAACTTATAATATCCTACTCGAGCAATTTAGCATTGTCTTTTACTATTTTCTGTTTCATAAATCTCTCGGAAAAGATATTTGATCGTGGTCCTTGTTTGTTTATGGGTGAGTTGTATTTTAACTTATTAGAGATAATTTGAAATAAAGTTTCCAATCTTCTTTTTAGCTTATGTAAATCATTTTAACACAATTATCCCACTTCACTGGTTGGGAATTCTCTGCTATGATAGCCAAAAAACCATTACTCATCATGATCATGAAGCTTCTTATCTTAAGTATTCTGTATTTGGTTATATACTACTATTACTGATGACACTTTTACAATGGCGGCGCAAAATCTAATTATAGACGATGCATGGAGACCAGGAATTAGTATAGAGAGATGTGGTTTGAGTGGTAAATGATTTAAAATATAAACATGTTTTGAATTTAATTAAAAAAAATAATAATCAATTTAAGTTAAGTGGTCTGCAACTATATACTTTTATGGTCCCTGTTTGATTATTTTGCTATACTGTTTGACTACGTTTATTTCGGTTTATTGGACGGCAATACGAAGTAAAAAACAATTCAATAAAGTTAAGTTAAATGGACCTAAAAAATTTCGTAAGTTTTGAATGATAAACAATCGTTTCTACACTTTGAACTAGAACTGAACTAAAACTTAACTAGAACTAGAACTAGAACTGAACTAGAACTGAACTAGAACTGAACTAGAACTGAACTAGAACTGAACTAGAACTGAAACTAGAACTGAACTAGAACTGAACTAGAACTGAACTAGAACTGAACTAGAACTGAACTAGAACTGACTAGAACTGAACTAGAACTGAACTAGAACTAGAACTGAACTAGAACTGAACTAGAACTGAACTAGAACTGAACTAGAACTGAACTAGAACTGAACTAGAACTGAACTAGAACTGAACTAGAACTGAACTAGAACTGAACTAGAACTGAACTAGAACTGAACTAGAACTGAACTAGAACTGAACTAGAACTGAACTAGAACTGAACTAGAACTGAACTAGAACTGAACTAGAACTGAACTAGAACTGAACTAGAACTGAACTAGAACTGAACTAGAACTGAACTAGAACTGAACTAGAACTGAACTAGAACTGAACTAGAACTGATCTAGAACTGAAACTAGAACTGAACTAACTGAACTAGAAACTGAACTAGAACTGAACTAGAACTGAACTAGAACTGAACTGAACTGAACTAGAACCGAACTAGAACTGAACTAGAACTGAACTAGAACTGACTAGAACTGAACTGAAACTGAACTAGAACTGAACTAGAACTGAACTAGAACTGAACTAGAACTGAACTAGAACTGAACTAGAACTGAACTAGAACTGAACTAGAACTGAACTAGAACTGAAAGAACTAGAACTGAACTAGAACTGAACTAGAACTGAACTAGAACTGAACTAGAACTGAACTAGAACTGAACAGAACTGAACTAGAACTGAACTAGAACTGAACTAGAACTGAACTAGAACTGAACTAGAACTGACTAGAACTGAACTAGAACTGAACTAGAACTGAACTAGAACTGAACTAGAACTGAACTAGAACTGAACTAGAACTGAACTAGAAACTGAACTAGAACTGAACTAGAACTGAACTAGAACTGAACTAGAACTGAACTAGAACTGAACTAGAACTGAACTAGAACTGAACTAGAACTGAACTAGAACTGAACTAGAACTGAACTAGAACTGAACTAGAACTGAACTAGAACTGAACTAGAACTGAACTAGAACTGAACTAGAACTGAACTAGAACTGAACTAGAACTGAACTAGAACTGAACTAGAACTGAACTAGAACTGAACTAGAACTGAACTAGAACTGAACTAGAACTGAACTAGAACTGAACTAGAACTGAACTAGAACTGAACTAGAACTGAACTAGAACTGAACTAGAACTGAACTAGAACTGAACTGAACTGAACTGAACTAGAACTGAACTAAAACGGTACTGGAATTGAACAGAAACTGAACTAGAACTGAACTAGAAACTGAACTAGAACTGAACTAGAACTGAACTAGAACTGAACTAGAACTGAACTAGAACTGAACTAGAACTGAACTAGAACTGAACTAGAACTGAACTAGAACTGAACTAGAACTGAACTAGAACTGAACTAGAACTGAACTAGAACTGAACTAGAACTGAACTAGAACTGAACTAGAACTGAACTAGAACTGAACTAGAACTGAACTAGAACTGAACTAGAACTGAACTAGAACTGAACTAGAACTGAACTAGAACTGAACTAGAACTGAACTAGAACTGAACTAGAACTGAACTAGAACTGAACTAGAACTGAACTAGAACTGAACTAGAACTGAACTAGAACTGAACTAGAACTGAACTAGAACTGAACTAGAACTGAACTAGAACTGAACTAGAACTGAACCAGAACTGAACTAGAAACTGAACTGAACTAAACCGAACTAGAACTGAACTAGAACTGAACTAGAACTGAACTAGAACTGAACTAGAACTGAACTAGAACTGAACTAGAACTGAACTAGAACTGAACTAGAACTGAACTAGAACTGAACTAGAACTGAACTAGAACTGAACTAGAACTGAACTAGAACTGAACTAGAACTGAACTAGAACTGAACTAGAACTGAACTAGAACTGAACTAGAACTGAACTAGAACTGAACTAGAACTGAACTAGAACTGAACTAGAACTGAACTAGAACTGAACTAGAACTGAACTAGAACTGAACTAGAACTGAACTAGAACTGAACTAGAACTGAACTAGAACTGAACTAGAACTGAACTAGAACTGAACTAGAACTGAACTAGAACTGAACTAGAACTGAACTAGAACTGAACTAGAACTGAACTAGAACTGAACTAGAACTGAACTAGAACTGAACTAGAACTGAACTAGAACTGAACTAGAACTGAACTAGAACTGAACTAGAACTGAACTAGAACTGAACTAGAACTGAACTAGAACTGAACTAGAACTGAACTAGAACTGAACTAGAACTGAACTAGAACTGAATAGAACTGAACTAGAACTGAACTAGAACTGAACTAGAACTGAACTAGAACTGAACTAGAACTGAACTAGAACTGAACTAGAACTGAACTAGAACTGAACTAGAACTGAACTAGAACTGAACTAGAACTGAACTAGAACTGAACTAGAACTGAACTAGAACTGAACTAGAACTGAACTAGAACTGAACTAGAACTGAACTAGAACTGAACTAGAACTGAACTAGAATGAACTAGAACTGAACTAGAACTGAACTAGAACTGAACTAGAACTGAACTAGAACTGAACTAGAACTGAACTAGAACTGAACTAGAACTGAACTAGAACTGAACTAGAACTGAACTAGAAACTGAACTAGAACTGAACTAGAACTGAACTAGAACTGAACTAGAACTGAACTAGAACTGAACTAGAACTGAACTAGAACTGAACTAGAACTGAACTAGAACTGAACTAGAACTGAACTAGAACTGAACTAGAACTGAACTAGAACTGAACTAGAACTGAACTAGAACTGAACTAGAACTGAACTAGAACTGAACTAGAACTGAACTAGAACTGAACTAGAACTGAACTAGAACTGAACTAGAACTGAACTAGAACTGAACTAGAACTGAACTAGAACTGAACTAGAACTGAACTAGAACTGAACTAGAACTGAACTAGAACTGAACTAGAACTGAACTAGAACTGAACTAGAACTGAACTAGAACTGAACTAGAACTGAACTAGAACTGAACTAGAACTGAACTAGAACTGAACAATAGAACTGAACTAGAACTGAACTAGAACTGAACTAGAACTGAACTAGAACTGAACTAGAACTGAACTAGAACTGAACTAGAACTGAACTAGAACTGAACTAGAACTGAACTAGAACTGAACTAGAACTGAACTAGAACTGAACTAGAACTGAACTAGAACTGAACTAGAACTGAACTAGAACTGAACTAGAACTGAACTAGAACTGAACTAGAACTGAACTAGAACTGAACTAGAAATGAACTAGAACTGAACTAAAACGGTACTGGAATTGAACTTTTCTTAAAATTTTAATTTTCTTTTCAAAATTTTTAGTTATAACTCCAATTGGCGTATATGGCAGATGATGGTCATATGTTGGTTTTTAGAAATTCTGTCGTATGTATTACATAGGCATGAGTTTAAAATTTCATCCAAAATAATCGATTATATTAATTCACTGCAGGTGCGTATTATTCAATTGATAGTCTATAGACTAGACTATTCCACAATATCTGAATGTATAACATGGTTTGTGTTTAATAAATTATACATCTTTCAGGGAGTATATATATTTTTCATTATCATCGGACAAAAAGAAGTTCGGAATTCCTTTAAAAAAAGGTATATCGCTGCAATTAATGTGTTAAATGAATAATAACATTTGTTAGTAAATATATATTTTTAGATATTTTAGCAAGAAATACAGAAGGGAACGACAAAATGAAATTAAAAACAACCATCAGCGGCGCATGCAATCTGCACGAACCGAGAATAGTGAATACTTGTATGAACAAGACGAATAAATGTTAGTATTATGCTCTTTTTAAGAGAAATGTGTGCGCTCTTTTCTTTTTGCCGATCACAGTTTTAATGATTCCTTAGATTATAAGTTTATTATAAATATAAAGAATTTTGAGTCCAATTTAAAAAAAAAAAAAAAAACTTTAAACGTCCAAATAAGTATTTTAATGGAAAATTTTTACCTTCCTTTGCTTTATTTAAGAAAACTTATAATTTTAAACTTATGCTCTAAGAAAAATGCCATTAAAATCATTATCAAGTCCACAACTGAGTCCATCATCGTATACTTAACATCGTAACCGTCTTAATGACGAGCACGATATCTTAATCTGCGCACAGTTTTATAACGATAACCATCATCAGCCAGATCAGCACTTTTAACCTCAACTGTATCAGCAGCATCAGTTTCAGCTGCCTCCTCAGCTGGTGGCAAATATTCATTAACGGGGGTTAAGGCTTCACGTCTCTGACGTCTATATTTCAAACGTCTTACGGTTTATAACGATAACCGTCATCACCGAATATGGTCTTTAGATCGGGAGCCAATTCAATATCTATTGGCGTAAATATCCTTGCTGGGTTGTTCTATTTCGCTGACATCACGACGATGACGTGTGCGTAATTTCAATTTACGTACAGTTTTATAACGATAACCATCATCGGCTAATTTAGTTTCAGCTTTTTCCTCCGCCGGTGGTAAATACTCTTGGGTAGGTTCTTGTACTGGGGGTAGATATTCTTGAGAAACATCACGTCTATGGCGAGCACGATATTTTAATTTCGCACCGTTTTATAGCGATAACCATTATCGGTTAATTTAGCAGTTTCATCTTCAACTTCGGCAATAGGAGGTAGGTATTCGTTAGAGGGTTCGGCCACATCGAGGGTGTTGGTTTGAGCACAGACTAAAGTTACTAGGCTCAAAGTACAAACAGCTACGAAAAGTTTCTAAATTAAGAAAAATAATTTTATTTAAAAGGAACTATTAAAGTACTCTAAATTTCTTGAAAGCTTTATTTCTTGTAAAGCTTTTGATATATTTTTACTGGACTATAGACTAGACTATAGACTAGACTACTAGACTATAGACTAGACTATAGACCAGACTATAGACTAAACTATAGACTAACTATAGACTAGACTATAGACTAGACTATAGACTAGACTATAGACTAGACTAATAGACTAGACTATGGACTAGACCTATAGACTAGACTATAGACTAGACTATAACTAGACTATGGACTAGACTATAGACTAAGACTATAGACTATACTATAGACTATACTATGAGACTAGACTATAGACGAGAACATAGACTACACTATAGACTAGAATATAACTAGACGATGACTAGAACGAGAGACTAGGCCTATATGACTAGACCTATAGACTAGACTTATAGACCAGACTATAGACTCTAAACTATAGACTAGACTATAGACTAGACTATAGACTAGACTAATAGACTAGACTATAGACTAGACTATAGTCTAGACTATAGTACTAGACTATAGACTAGACTAGAGAACTAGACTATAGACTAGGACCTATAGACTAGACTACTAGACTATAGACTAGACTATAGACTAGACTATAGACTAGACTATAGACTAGACTATAGACTAGCTATAGACCAGACTATAGACTAGACTATAGACTAGACTATAGTCTAGTCTAAAGCTACTAGGCTCAAGGTACAAACAGCTACGAAAAGTTTCTAAATTAATAAAAATAATTTTATTTAAAAGGAACTATTAAAGAACTCTAAATTTCTTAAAAGCTTTTATTTCTTAGACTAGAGACTAGACTATAGACTAGACTATAGACTAGACTATAGACTAGACTGTAGACTAGACTATAGACTAGACTATAGACTAGACTATAGACTAGACTATAGACTAGACTATAGACTAGACTAGACTAGACTATAGACTAGACTATAGACTTGACTATAGACTAGACTATAGACTAGACTATAGACTAGACTATAGACTAGACTATAGACTAGACTATAGACTAGACTATAGACTAGACTATAGACTAGACTATAGACTAGACTATAGACTAGACTATAGACTAGACTATAGACTAGACTATAGACTAGACTATAGACTAGACTATAGACTAGACTATAGACTAGACTATAGACTAGACTATAGACATAGACTATAGACTAGACTATAGACTAGACTATAGACTAGACTATAGACTAGACTATAGACTAGACTATAGACTAGACTATAGACTAGACTAAGACTAGAATAGACTAGACTATAGACTAGACTATAGACTGACTATAGACTAGACTATAGACTAGACTATAGACTAGACTATAGACTAGACTATAGACTAGACTATATAGACTAGACTATAGACTAGACTATAGACTCTAGACTATAGACTAGACTATAGACTAGACTATAGACTAGACTATAGACTAGATATATAGACTAGACTATAGACTAGACTTAGACTAGACTATAGACTAGACTATAGACTAGACTATAGACTAGACTAGAGATAGACTATAGACTAGACTATAGACTAGACTATAGACTAGACTATAGACTAGACTATAGACTAGACTATAGACTAGACTATAGACTAGACTATAGACTAGACTATAGACTAGACTATAGACTAGACTATAGACTAGACTATAGACTAGACTATAGACTAGACTATAGACTAGACTATAGACTAGACTATAGACTAGACTATAGACTAGACTATAGACTAGACTATAGACTAGACTATAGACTAGACTATAGACTAGAACTATAGACTAGACTATAGACTAGACTATAGACTAGACTATAGACTAGACTATAGACTAGACTATAGACTAGACTATAGACTAGACTATAGACTAGACTATGACTAGACTATAGACTAGACTATAGACTAGACTATAGACTAGACTATAGACTAGACTATAGACTAGACTATAATTCTTTAAAGCTTTATTTCTTCTAAAGCTTTTGCGATTTTATTATTGTTTTTTTTAATTTTTAAGCTGTATTTATCAGCTACGAAAAGTTTCTAAATTAAAAGAAAATAAATTATAGTATACTTAAAAGCTTTATTTCTCTTTAAAGCTTTTGCAACTTTTTAATGCAGAGTTTTTAAGTTTTTTTTAGTGCTTGACCTTTCGTTATACTCTTTTTCAATTAATACTAACTAAAATTACTATTTACCAACAACTTATTAAACTTTAACAAAAAGCTTTTGGTAAATTAAAAAAAAAAAAAAAAACGTTCAAGAAAAGTCCTTTAGCAGAACTTTTACTGTACCAAATATTTAACTTACCATCTTTTTTCCGTCCAGTAAAGGATTGAATTTGTGTGTCGTTGTGTGTTTTGAAATATAGAAAATTATTTACTCTTCTACTGTTTGGCTTTTAGGCCAATGATGTTCTATTTGAGTTTTTTAACTGTATTTATACTGAAAAAACTGTTCTAACATTTCGTTAAATAGTCTAATTTGTTTTTGTTTTTTCCTACTCTTCCTCTATATAAATTATAAGTGGGTTACCAAACACTTTATAAAATTTCAAGTACTTAATAACCAAATTTGTTTTTTTATTTATTGTATCTTCTTCAGTTTTTTTTTTTTTTTTGTAGAACCACATCTACCACAAAACGAAAGCCAAACCAAAGAAGTATAGTTTAAAATATTGTTAAAATGTTATATTAGAACTTTTTATTTCAATTCGTTTAATTCTGAAATATATACTGTTTTTTTCTTATGCTAAAGCCACTTGTAGTTTAATTTTGTTCTTATTATTATTAACAATTTGTTTACATTTAAGCGGAATTTAAATAACAAATTACTTGTGTGATAAAAAGTGTTTTTTAAATAGATAAAATATAGAATATTGATTATTTATGGTTCGTTATTTGACTAGTTAGTTAGTTAGTTAGTAGTTAGTTAGTTAGTTAGT